CAGAGTTTGGAGTACTGCAATGTGGCGATACAGTTACAAAATGGAGCATCATTTCATAATCATTGTTACTATTTTTCTAATTAATTTCAAGCACTTTTTTAATAATCAAATGACATGAAAAATTAGGTTTAGGTTTGAAAAAAATCTGAAAATATAAGAAATTTTAATACCTTACTATTCAACATTTTTGCATCATTAACCAATTAATAAAAATGATGTATCTAAATTTCTCACTATATTATATATTTGTCTTTAGGCTGAGGCTTTATAACTTTTTGTGAAAGAATCATTTCAATGTAATAAATTCTTCAAAAGATATGATAACAAATATGACAAATTAAAATAACAGAGTATCAAGTTTTTGAACCCTTATAGTATAGTTGAACTATAAAAGCCAATTCTTCAAAACTTTATCTCCCTCCCCCTTGTAGTGATAAATCCGAATTTTATGAAAAAGAGGTATGCTTTTTCAGAAAAAAGAGAGATTTTTGGTCAAAATAAGCATATTCGTTTACAGTTAAATACTTAGAGATTTCTTTGAGATATTACCAGAACAATTTACAGAATGAAAATCTGACCAAGCATTCAAAAGTTATAAGGGTGATTTTTTTTTTCCTGCTGACTACATTCAATTTTATACATTTCCACCCAGGCTGTTAAGTTACACAAAATATAACTTAAAACTAATGTATTTAACTGCTCATACCTGATTTTCATATTAATCAGCAGTCATACAGTAAATTACTAAGTGTTGCACAAACTATATTGCATATATCACCTTGCAGTTATAGATAACATTAAATCAAAAATTTTATATGGGCCTATCAAATAATAATATAATTTCTTTAATGTAATCGGCTTCACCTTCAATCCATTGTAAAATAATAAAAAACCTAGTTTCAATAAAAATCTAAAACTGGGTGAAACATATTTTATAATTAATATAGTCACTTAAAAGCAAACCTTAAGAAATTCATAAATGCAAACACCTTAGTACAGGAAAAATATTAAAATAAAAGTCAAATATAATAGTCAAGAATAATACTATAAAATTCCTCACCCTTGATAATATTTGCATCTTAATGTTATTGGCAATCGAAAGGGGCTACAGGTGGGTAGAGCAGAACTCTCTACCTACGGCAACACTTTACATGCTTTCCCCGTTAGACTGTGGAGAATCATAGCAAAAGGAAGTACGTTAGCTTCTGTCTTGGTTTTCAAAGAGATTAAAATTTTTTAAGTTAGAAAACTTTACAGAACTGAAAACTACATTAAACATAGTTCTAAAAGAAAGCGTCATGGAAATTTTAAAAAATATTTTTAATAATTAAATACAAAAAAAATTAAGAAAAGGAAAAATATCGTAGTACAATTCTCTACAAAAACTGAGAAGAGGGAAGAGCCAAAAGTATGGAATCGGTCTTCCCCCAGATGGCATATTCAAGAGTTGCAATTGCGTATATTTTATGAGAAAATTATGAATAAAAAAAAAATCTTTGAACTTTTATACAGATGAAACTGAGTCATTTATGAATTAACAAGTTAATCATTAACAAATAAGTCATTATCAATTAACAATATAACGTAATCAATATCAATTCACTATATAACGTAATCAATATTAATTCACAATATAACGTAATCATTATCAATTAACAATATAACGTAATCATTATCAATATTACATTATCAATTAAATCATTAACAAATTTTCTGTATTTTAAACTTCAAAATTTTTTAAAATAATTAAAAAGTTTTATACTTCATGGTTAAGAAGATACATAAATCAATATTACACGCTTGTTTTAATAATTATCTTTAATTTATTGAAGTCATAGTGCATTTATCCTATACAGGCTTTCTACAGCTTTAAATCCAAAATTACGGTTCATTTAAAATTATTGACATTAGATTTCTATCTAAAAAGGAATCGATTATGATTTAATACACAGAAAGTAATTTCCAGTTAAAATTTTTCACACATTTTTAGTCATAAACCATTTTTAAATGTTTGGATTATTATCTTACATATTTTAAGGACACTTGTCATATTGTTTTTTTTTTCTTTTTGGTTAAACTTTTCTTGCATTATAATTTAATTTTTAACAAACATTAACACATTATTATTCTAGTCTAATTAACCTATTTAAGACATACATATTGTAATAAATTACTTATAAGAGAAAGAGACACTTTAAAAATCCAATAACTGGTCTAAAGAGCCATAAAAATAAAAAAAAGTCAGATACAACTGTTTCAATCATTCAGTATTTTTTTTTCTTCATAAATTACCCTTTCGAACCATTGTCATACAGTGCGCAAAATAAAAATCAGACTACCCCAAATAACTTTTCATCTAATAATCACATCTTTGCATCCTTCTATTCAATCTTAATGGCCCAAGGGAGTGATTTTTAAATATTCCAATTAATAAGAGCAGACGATACTTTAAGTTACGAAATCAGACACAAAAACGTACTTTCTCTGAATAAACATACCCTTTTTTTTCGACTGACCCCCAAAATATAAGGGTGTAGCTGCAATCAGGGAAATATGGTCCCAATAGTTTGGTCAAAAGCGCTCTTAAATTTTGACCCCTTAATGTTAGTTTTACTTTTTGCGTATTTCGCTATATCTCTAAAACATTTTAAGTGAACTGAAACATTTTTGCACATTTATAAAATTCGGTGATCCGAAGATTATGTCATACAAAAAATAACTTTTAGTAAATATGTATTATTTTACTTGATAATGGCCGAAAAAATTGTGAATTGAAAGGTATAAAAATTTTATATCACTTTGAAGAATGTAATTTTAGATGGTAAAATACAAAATTTGAGCAAAATCGGCCAAATAGTTCCCGAGAAATCTAATTTTTTAAATATCTGACTTTTTGAAATTGAATTTCTCAGGAACTTTTCAATCAGTTTTGTATTTTGCCAGGTAAAATTATATTCTTTTAAATGATGCAAAATATTTTATACCTAACAATTCAAAATTTTTTAGACTATTATCAAATAAAATAATAAATATTTACTAAAAGTTACTTTTTGCATTGAATTATTTTTGGATAAATGAATTTTATAATTGCATGCTAAAATTCTTCAATTCGCTTAAAAAATTCGAAATATAAGCAAAAAGTAAAATTAACATTGAGGGATCCAAACTTAGGACTGCTCTCCTGATCTAACTATTGGGGCTACCCCCTAAATTTTGAGAGTTAAAAATCCAAATCCGTAGGGAAAAAAGGCATGTTTATTCAGCAAAAGAACGTTTTTGCATCTGATTTCGTAACTTAAAATATCGTCTGCACCTATTATTTAGCATATTTGAGGTCAACCCTTTGAGCCATTAAGATTGAGTTTAAGAATGTGAAGAACCGATTATTAGATCAAAAGTTATTCAGGGTGGTCTCTTTTTTGTTTTGTTTGGCACACTGGACATTATCCAGAATATCTCTAACTTACTACTAATTTTCTAACCTCATATCTTTTTATTATTAAGAAGAAAAACAGGAAGAAAAAAATATTGCAAATATCTATACAAAATTATTAACATTAGACAGAATAAAAACGTCTTTTTTTATATATATATTTTAAGTATCACTTAATTATATATATTTTTTCAGTTTCACTTTACTGTATTATTACCAGAGAGCTTTTCCATGCAATTCTTTGCTTTTTGTTTATTATCGTTACGTGGGACATTTTAGATTAGTCCTACAGTACTAAGGCAGGATTAATGATATGCCTATACATTTGGCACATCATAATGAAATGATGAGAAGAAAATCACTCCTTTAGTCTGCATAACTCTAATAATATGTTAAAAGTTACCCATAATTTCAGATTTAATATACATAAAGAATATGGCTAATACCCTAGTAAAGGATGGTAGACCTTGAAGTGCCTCTAAAAATCACAGACTAGAATATAGGATAATGAAGCATACATTTAAAAAAGTAAATGTCACATATTGGCTATATATACATATTTTTAAAAAAAACATTTATTTCATCATTATTATAATTGTTCAACGCCTTTAAATAACTTATTAAACAGAATGATAAAGTGTTATACTGAGTGTCAACGATTTCAAGAGCCCATGACCCTAAGAACTTCTGAAAAAGTCAGTTCTTGTGCACCACTTGACGAAAAACATCAAGTAGAACTAGCTATATCGCCATCTACTTTGCACTCATGAATTAATACTAACCCTCCACATTTGCACTGATTTTCATTACAAGCAACAGTGCACCTTTTACTTTCAACAATACTAACAGTGGTTGATGATACCATTTTCTTAAATGCAGACTTTCTACCTTTTTAAGTACTTGAAAATTTTTCATCTACTTTAATAGGTGAGAAAAAAAACTGTATTATCAAAGATTGTTTTAAGAGCAGCTAATACAAAAATAGGAATTAGAAAAACTTACTATTTCCAAAATTTCATTTAAGAAACAAATTATGCTTATAAAAATATTCTTATTTAATAACTCTAATGGGTTTTGTTTTAATACACATTTTGTAAGCCACTTCTGCTCAGTGGACTCAAGTAAACTGTAATAAGATAATTTCTTTGAAACAAAACAGGGTTGAACTTAGAAAGTTTGAAGTCAGGAATACCAAATTCCCCAGTTTGTTGTTCTTAAACCATTCGTCTCACACCTGCACCAAAAGGTGACAAGGTCTCAGCTTTTTTTTTTTTCTTCTCCTGAGTGCTGACTGGAAATGTCATCCATATGTGACCATTAGGAACTGACTTAATGTGCATATGAACTGGTACATTTATTTAGCTTAAATTTATGGTTTATTAAGATTATTGTCAAAAATTATAACCAAAGAGGTATATAAATAACTTTTTATTGATATTTAACCAGTGTTCTCCCTAAGCGTTTTTTGAAGGGCTGCCCGCCCTCTGATCCCAATAAATGGGCCCTCTTTGTAAAAATAAACAGACATCCATTAAAAACACTGCCTTTTTTTATTGATATTCCATTATGAAAAAAAATATTTAATTCACAGTTAAAATAATAATTACACATTGGTAAAATTTATCTGTGTTTATAGGTTTAATCTTTTTGATCTTAATGATGTATCTTGCTAATGTGTGAAGATCTAATTTCTAAGATATGTCAAATTATTTCTAAAAAATATTATCACACTTTGAAATAGATTAGAATAAGTTATTAATATTTTATCAGAAACAATGAAAACACAATTAAGAATAATATGTTGAAATAACTTCAGCATCAAAATTAGCTTAGTTCATGCTCTTTTCAATTATATAGTTTGTTTTTTCTTCTTTTGTCAATTTCCTTAACATATTCAAGTTAATAAATATGCACAAAAAAAAGCAAAAATTGGCTGACCTAAAATTTGCTGAGTTTTTAAAATACCTTTTAAATCAGCAGATTTATAACTATGCATGCAAATACTAAATACAACTGTTTCCTTCTATTTTTTAAAACTTAAGAAACAAAAACATGCTAAGTACCACATAATAATAAACTTACAAATACAGGGTAAAAAATACAAATCATATCAAGAGTAGATTTTTACAGAGGACAAATTAAAGTAATGCACATTAAGAAGGAATTTCAATTTTATTAAAAATTATTTTAAGTAATATTTCCTTTAAATTAATTTCAAACTCGAAAAAGCATTTTCAACTATTTTCTAAGTTACTATTTTTTTAGTTGCTATTTTCTAATTTATAAAAGATTATATTAATTACATAATTAGTACTGTTCATTATAGGAACCCAATAATATATAGTCCACTTAATACTTTGACTCTCTGAGTTATGGCAACACAAAAATCTTTAATGAGCTTTAAAAAAAATATTTTTTCAATCTATGGTACTGATCAGAAGATTGCTTTTTATTATTCTAAGGGTACTTATCACTCAAGTTATTATGGTTGGCATTCTTATTGTATTAAGTTGGATTTTTAATAGGTCTTGTGTCAAACAGAAAGGTTAAAAGAAATGCAACCAATAAAGTGGTGCACTTAATATATAAAAAATTTCCCAAGAAAAAATAACAATAACAAAAGTTAAAAAGGTAATGAAACAAAAAATCTTCAGCTTTTCAATGTTAAACTTTTGATTCCAAATTTTTTTTGTTGCTTAATTAGTAGTTTTTCATGTTGGTAACAATGAGCAAAATACAATGTAAAATATCATGCATTTGTACTTAAAATTTAACTTCACATAAACTTAAATTTATAAATTCAACCAGTGGTTATAACTAAAATATACATATTATTTATAAAATAACAAAAATTGAACATGTCTAATATAGAAAATAATATCACCGAGAAACACAAACTTGTTAAAACCATATTCTAAGGATAAGATCTTGATTCGGTATTAAAAAAATATTATACTTTTGAACACTTTCTTTTTTTTTACAAACAAAATAATATATTTAGGGAATACATATTATTTTTATATAAAATTATTATAAAGATGGATTTTAAAAAGTTTATAGAAAAGAGTCGAGAACAGAAAAAAAATAAACTATACTAACATAACATTTGATAATTATCTTCTGTCACACTAACATCAATATGTAAACTAGAATTCATTAATTAGTAGTTATTAGATAATCTAATTAAATATAAATAAAGTCAAACAAAACAGCTTTAAAGATATTTTGATAAGCAAAAACAAAAAGTATCAATACTCACATGTCAAATATAATTTAAAACAAGATAATAAATAAATTTGTAACATAATATATTGCATGAAATGTTACAAGTTACCAAAATATAGGCACACAATCAATCAACTAGTAAGTTAAAATATCCTAAACCCAATAGTTTTAATTGATATAAATTATATAGAATTAAAATTACATAAATGACATAAATGGACTGAATTCTGTTGGTTGCCCAACAACATTTGTTCCATCATGTGAGCTAACTGTAACAACATTTACTCGATTCTGATCAGACATCATAGCAGGAACAGCAGATGGTGGAGTTGGTCCAACATGAGGATGAGGATGCTGATGAGTATGTTGATGGTGGTGGTGATGATGGTGATGAGGTTGGTGATGTCTTTGTTCCATAAATGCTACCTGATAATTATGAGCAGCAGCTGCTCCCAATTGTTGTAAAGCAACTGCAGCATGACTGTGAAGAGCATCTTGATGAGAAGACTCGTAACTATAAACCACCGGTGCTGGAGGAGGATTGTTAGCTCCAATGGCAGATACAGCTGTCTGTAATTCAATATGTTGCTGAGGCTGTAACTGGTTGTTTTCAGATTCTGGAGGCTGGTTTTTATTTGGGGGAGAATAAGCACTCACTTCATAACCCTGCCTCCTTTGTTTCCTAGGCCTATATGGTCCTTTAGCAGTTGCATTTTCGCCATGATGCTTTCGAAAGTGTTCCTTTAACTTATCTCTGCGCGAACTACAATAATCACAGTGTTCGCATTTAAATGGTTTTTCATTTAAATGAATACGTTCATGTCTTACAAGATGGCTTTTTTCAATAAATGCTCTTCCACAAATGGAACAAATATGGGAACGGACAGCTGTATGAGTTCTATGATGGGAACCTAATTGGCTTTTCTTAGGAGTACTATATTTACAATTTGGAAAATGACAACGAAATACATCGCCTGTATGAATTCTCTTATGAGAAAATAGATGTGATTGATATTTTGTACTAAATCCACAAGTATCGCATAAGAAAGGCCTATCTTCACGATGTGATGCTAAGTGTTGATCTAAACTAGCTTTAATAGCAAATCTTCTTTCACAATGCTCACATTGATATGGTTTCTCACCAGTATGACATCTCATATGGCAGTCTAAATTTGCTTTTGTACGACACCGGTGATCGCATTCATCACATTTAAAAGGCCGTTCATCAGTATGCCGCATACGATGAGACAAAAGAAATTGTATTCTGTCACAAGTATATTCACAATTTTCACAGCGAAATGGTGGGCCTTGGAAATGTGTTTTGACATGGCTGTAATATTCTCTATTCCATTTACATGTAAAATCACAAACTTTACATTTATAAGTCACATCTTTTGCATGTATACGAGAAACATGTTGCTCTAATCTGACAGAGCTATGAGCAATGTAAGAACAATTTGGACATTTTACACCATCTTTCCATTTAGATTTATTACCATGTCCATTCACAGATTCTTCCACACTGGAATCTGTAGCACTTGAACTACCTTCATCGTCATCCTCGTCGTCATCATCATCGTCATCTTCAGTATCAGTCTCTGACACATAACGTTTTTTACCAGACTTAGAATTTGATTTGTTACCAGCAGGAACCACTTGTGATTGTTTACTTGAAATTTGATTTTTCGGAGATTTTGAATTTTGTTTGGCAGTTTTTGAGGCACTCTTTGGAGCAGGCTTGGCAGATATAGTACCAGATGATTTACGAGTAATTTTAATGGGAGGAACTGTTTTTTCAGCTTTTTGAAGTAAAGATGATCTTCTTGTAGTCATAGTAATCTTCCTTGCAGCTAAAAAATAAATAAAAAAATTTTTTGAATTATAAACCAAATGAACTATTAATAATATAACTTTTTTTTAATTTACAAAAAAATAATCTTAAATATTAAATCTATCAGTTTTTAATTCATCTAGGAAACTTTTAACTTCAGTATACTCCCAGATATCTAGGGTAATGACTAAGGAAACTTAACTGAGTTTCTTTTATAATGTACAGGGTGTACGTAATAAAATAACCTTACTTTTTTTTATTTATCAACAGGATTAGCAACCAAATGTACATTTGATTGCTAAAACTCTTGATTTAAATTCTAGACTTTTTATCAATATCTTAGCAAAATAGCTCTTTTTGAATTAAAATCTTTCAAGTATCTTTCCTATAACTAGAGGAATCTCAAAAGTCAATTGATAAAAGTTCATATAGAATATTACCTAAAGATCCAAGTGTTAATGAGTTGAATAAAATCTGTCGTTAAAAACTATTCCTAATCATCTGAAATATTTTCTCACGCCTACTAGCATATTTTCTGGCACATTATCTGTGGCGGCCTATAATTCGCATGTGGCATTTTCTGAAGTGAGACAAAAATTAACAACGTATAACCCACACCCGAATTTGAAACAATATCTACGCAAATTTTGAACAAGACATAATTTTTATTAAAATATATATCTGGTTGTTCGAAAAGTAATTTCGTTTTTCCGAAGGAGGATTTAATTGCATTTTTTGGAAACCAACTTCACACTTAAACCGCATTATCATTACATGTTTTGAGAGCTGATATGGCAAGGCTTGTGTGTGAAAAAGTTCAATTAACTCTACTCAGTAGTTTTTGGTTGGTATCCTTTTCAATAGGAGAGCAATAAGCAGCATTTTCGTCATTTTTTACTTTTTTACTATAAAAAAGGTAAAATGCTGTTCATGCCAGAAAGAAATTAACAGGTGTGTATGGAGAAGATGTGCTGACAGTACGCCAGTGCCAGAACTGGTTTGCAAAATTTTGATCGGCAATTTTGATGTCGAAGATGCAGCACGATCTGAAAGGCCGGTTGAAGCTGATAAAGACACGATAAATGCATTGTTGATGCAAATCCGCGAATAACAAGACGTGAGATCAGTGAGAGGTTAAATTTATCGAATTCAACTGTTTATGACCACTTGAAAGGCCTGGGTCTAACCTCGATATATGGGTTCCCCATGTTCTCACTGAGAGAAATTTGTGTATCACGCTGACGTCTGTGATTCACTTCTCAAACGTCATGAAAATGATCCAATTTTGAAGTGCATCATTACTGGGGACAAAAGATGGGTCGTCTATAACAATGTCAAACGCAAGAGATCATGGAGCAAAAAAGACGAACCGGCTCAAAGCATTTCGAAAGTCAATATCCGGCTGTCTGTTTGGTGGGATTTTAAAGGAGGTTTTTTTTATTTTTTAGCTTTTACTGGATAACATAACAATTAATTCGGAAGTCTACTATCGTCAGCTGGACAAACTGAATGATGCACTTCAATAGAAAAGGCCAGAATTAATCAACAGAAAAGGTATAGTGCTCCACCAAGATAATGTGAGACCTTATACAAGTTTGGTCACTCTCCAAAAGCTTTCACAGGTTGAATAGGATACACTGCCACCCCCACCATATTCTCCAGATCTAGCGCCTTCGGATTATTATTTGTTCTAGTCACTGCAAAATTTTTTGGACTGTAAAATCTTTACTTCAAATGAAGAGATCAAAAATCACCTAGATCAGTTTTTTGCCAGCAAAGACCAGAAAGATGGCAAAAGGTGTTGAACCAGAATTGCCAATATATAATTTAATAAAATATTTATTCATTATACGAAAATTGTCTCTCATTTTCTCCCCCAAAAAAGCTAAATTACTTTCCGAACAACCCAATAAATAAAATGGCAAATCTAAAACAAAATTAACAAAATTAAATACATTATTAGCTATAATATATAAATGAAAACAATAAAAAGTATCAGGTTAATAGGTAAGTAAGAAAAATATACACAACATAAATGAAAAATAATATTTAATAAACACAGAAGTAATTTGAAAGCATTTAAAATCTTTCAATATCAGACATATCTGAATCAGAATTAAACAATTCTAAAATGTTTGCATCGGTATCGCTATTGTCATCAGTATCACTGATATCGTCATCAAAATATGTGCTAGTATTGCTTTTCAGCAGTTAAACAATGGGGGATGCCATTTTTTTAAAAACCGTTATTTATTGTCTCAACAGACACATCTTCCGAAGCATTCAAAACCCATTCACATGCGTTATTATAAGAGGCATGTTGATCTTTTTTATTAGAACTAAACTCGTCACAGCCATCTATTCCTTCTAATAATATCTAACTTTAGCCTTGAATGATTTAATCCCCACATCCAAAGGCTGAAGATATTTAGTCAAGCCAAGGAATGATGGATAAACACAGAGAAATTTTTACATTGATTTTTAGTTACTTCACATATGTGCACCCGCATTGCTTGGCTTAAAAAAAGCTCCCTTCTTTTTTCGCCAAGTGGATGACAACCACGAAGTCATGACTTGGTGAATTTATCCACCCTTTTTCATTTACTTCCACAAAGTTTCTTTTGGGAAAGTGTTCTTTAGGTAAAGTTTTTCTCTTAAGAATTATTATAGGATACATTTTTTTTGCCAGCTCCTGAACAGGCTAACACCACAGTGAAAGAAATCTGCTCATGTCCCGTAGTTGCTATGGCAACCAAATTCATCCCGCAGTTTTCTATAGGTCGGTTTGGTGGAAATCAAAACTCATTAGAGTTTCATTTGTGTTTATAATCTCACTAGCTGTGAATTTGTTCTCTTTGATAAGCTTTCTGTTGAATTCCAGAAACTGTAAGACTTTCTCTCTCCAGTGTTCAGAAAAACTTTGCATAATGGTTGTACAAGCTCTATTCGTAAGTTGTGCTGTCGCATGAAGTTGTAGCAGCAGGATGGCCAACCAGTAAAATTTTTATTCTTTTCTTTTGCCAACAGTCGAGCATGCAGTTGTATTCTTATTATTGATACGGGAAATCTCCTTTCTCTTCCGGGGTCTGTCCAGACATTTTGTGAAAAGTCCGTTTTTGTAAAATTGTGAAATAATTACTCGTAATTTGTGAATATAAAATAAACGTTAAGTCACATTCTTTCAATCAGGGTCCGCTTTTGTGAATTTGTGCAAATAGGGTCCGTTATTACAAAAAAAACTTTCTCAAGGAGTCAACACTGTAAAATTATAATTAAAAAAAGTAAATTTTAAAAAATAAACAGCAATTGCAGCTACTAAATTAGCGATGCAACATACAAATATTTGGTATTTAGCCTATACTGCTGAACGCAGAATATTCACTTCGAACGAATAAAGGAAGAAGCGTCTGCAGAAGACAAAATTTAGCTCATTTACATTTGTCTTCCCCCCCCCCTCCTGGGNAAAAAATAAACAGCAATTGCAGCTACTAAATTAGCGATGCAACATACAAATATTTGGTATTTAGCCTATACTGCTGAACGCAGAATATTCATTTCGAACGAATAAAGGAAGAAGCGTCTGCAGAAGACAAAATTTAGCTCGTTTACATTTGTCTTTCCCCCCCCCCCTTCCTGGGATGGGTTTAGTCGATTAACAAAACAATAATGAAGATAAACAAATCTGTGAAGGGTCCGATTAAAAGATAAATTATTTTGTGAAGGGTCTGTTTTTAAGTTAAAATATTTGGTGAAGGGTCCTTTTTTATGAAAAGATATTTTGTGAAGGGTCCGTTCTTATTAAAAGATATTTTGTGAAGGGTTCGTTAACGGACGCAAATTTCTTCTAAACAGACCCCTGCTCTTTGATCCAGAATCCATCGGACCATGTCGTTTTCTGGGTCTGGCCATGAGGGCTTCCCCCTTCTCTTGCACAATCTTTTTTTTTTTATTGGAAGCTTGAAATTTTCTCTTATTCTTCCACCAAAGCCTGATACTGGATTTTTTGGATTTTTTTAAAAAATTAGAACTCAAAAATGTTAATAAGTTTATCTATAACATAATTTTTGATTTAGAAACTAGGCCAATTAAGATTTTAAAAAAATACACCGGGAAAAAAGCTGAGACTGAACTAACAGACTGAAGCAAGATTATTTGTCTGAACATTTAGTAATTAAGGGACAGTCCCTAAATTCAAACTATTGTATGTTATGATTTTTAAGAATTATTAAGTGTGAACATTATCAAATAAAATATGAAGATATAAGCATTTCAAAACAACTAAGTTTAAAAGTGTATCAAAACTAAACAATAAAAAATTAGTGAATAAAACCACACATTTAATAAGTATTTTCACAACTTAACAAAGTAAATTGATCATTAAAAGCATTGACTGTAATCTGAAAACAAAGAGTGCAATATTACTTTACATTTTTAGATGATGCAAATCTATGGCAAAAGTTAGGAATGTTTATTTATATTTTCAACAAAAATTATGCAAAATTGAAATCGAGAAAAAAAAACTTTTTGCATTCAGGGAGAAGAATTGCATCTCAGTAGAAAGTAATAAATAAGCCACATCTAAAAAGAAGTTTATACAAACTGTCAGTAAAAAGGGGGCAGAAAAAATCATAAAAAAATATAATATCAAACAATAATGAAGAAATAAAATCCTTCCATTCAAATGGGGTTTTTTTTAAAAATAGGACTAATTTATTGTGTTTAAATTTAGCCCATTTAAGGGTTCCTTATAGGAAATTCAATACCATTAAATGCATCAAACATTTAAATAAAATATAAACAGAAAATATTTAAAATAAATGTTTTTGTGCACATTAAGCAGGTGTATTTTCAGGAATTAAGGGTTGATGAAGATAGGGAGCCAAATGAGAAAAAGAGGTGATGGTGAGAGAGTAGTGAATGATGGTAATTTTTTTTTGTGACCACTTTTTTTTAACTTGGTCAGCATGTAAGGAATGGCAGCCATTAACAGGGATCTGTCTAGGTTTTTCTGAAGGATACCTATTTTGGAAAAATTTAGACATAATTTTTGAAAAATGAAAAATTATATTAAAAAATCAATACAAAACATGGTAAAAATATAGATTTATCGTTTTTTGAGGGATACAAAAGTAAAATTTTAAGAAAAAGTATTTTGTGAAACTACCGTTTTTCCTTAAGTTGAGTTTGTGAAACTACCGTTTTACCTAAAATTGAATTTGTGAAGGTACCGCTAAACGGTAGTAAATTCGACCCGGACAAATCCCTGATTAATCTTGCCCTTTACTTACACACACTTATTTACCAAGCTTCTAAAGTTTGTTCAAATAGTTATCTCTTTAATGAAAAGCAATGTTCTCCTTAAATGTTTTTAAAAGGGTGACCAGACCCTCTTGCCCTTTTCTTAAAAAATAAGCAGCCTTTTTATGTTATTTTTTGGGAAAAAAGGTTTTCTTAATCACTTGTTTTAATAAAAAAATCCACTTCTGATTTATTTAGTGACTGATAATTATTTAACTTTAATTTGATTATTTCATTTTAGTAAAATTTTTCTCATGTTGTCTAGTTATAGTAAAAATTTGCTTGATATTCAGGAAGAAAGGATATTAATGAATTTTCTAGTAATTTTAAATTTTAACATTATTTTATTAAATAAATACCTTTTATTTAAAAGTGCACCTTTAAATGTTTATTTTCTTATAATTTTCAGTTTAAAATATAAAAAAAAGCTTTAAAGTCAGTTGTTCATCGATTAATCCTTTTTTTAGCTTACTTTTCCTGAAGAAAATTATACACAGAGATTGTCTTTTAGCATGCTTTTAATTTTTTTTTCAAAAGCTAAAAATTTTTCTGCAATTTTCAATAATAAGTGAGGATTACTTTGTGAAATACAGTCAAACCCCTCTATAGTGAAGACTCGGTCGTAGTGAACTTTTCTAGTGGTCCCGTCCATATTCCCATTCAGATAATGTTATTTCAGACGCTTATAGTCAACAGCTGAGAAATTGGTAAATCGGTTTTAGTGTACTTAAAATTTTTAATTCTCCAAATTTCTTTTTCAGCCCTCTAATTTCAAATTTGTCCTCTAATTTTAAATTAAATTCAATTGAAAATTTGTAATAATTTAGTTGAAGATCTTTCAGGTATCCAAACCATGACGCAATATCTGAATACATATTTTAATTTAATTTTTTGCATCCTGGGGTTATTGTCAACCCCTATACCTGTTTCTTATCTCCCTTCTATTATCTTGGTCAAACTTGTTTCTCTGTTCCCATTTCTTAAACCACTATCACATGCTAGTCCAGTGTTGCCAGATTGGTCTACAAATAGCTGATTGGGCTACTTTTAAAAGTCCCTGCTACTGAAAATCAAATTTGGGCTACTCATTATTTTTCGAACGCTACAAATCTTAAAAATGTGCTACCGAAAATATTTTAATCTTTTTTCCCCTTCCCGTAATAAAATGATTCTGAAAAGTCTGCAATTTCCTTACTTTTTAACACATTCGCCTTAGTTTTGTTCTGCTGTGCAGAGTCTATAATCTTTCCATATCTATGTTTCAAATTGTTGACTTGTAAAATCGCAAAGATATGTACGAAAAAATGCACGTCGAACATGATCGGGAAAAAATCTTTAGCTCTAACCATTATTGACCGTTTATCTTTGGACTAATAAATCACATGGCTTTAAATCTGAGTTAAAACAAAATATTGAATTTGACGAAAATAACGTAATGCATTAAAATGTTACTAATTTTCTTTTAAATTTTCTTATATATATATATATATATATATAACACATTTTTTTGGGCTACAAATTGTTTGAATCCGCTACTTTTGGAGTGACCATTCGCTACTTTTTAATCTTAAGTTCTACCAACACTGTGCAAAATAATATGTTATAAATTACTAAATAATATGTCTTGCTAAAAACATATGAGTTTTATAAAAACCAAAATATACCTAGGAATTTGAAAAACATAACAGTAGATAAAATTGCAATGGTAGCTGAGCAAAATGATTAAATGTTATTTGCTTCAATTTTTATCAAAGACTTGAGAACTAAATCTGTGTTAATAAAATAAAAAATGGGGATCTTAAAATTGAATAACTTTTAATAATAAAATAATTTTAATGTAACAATCGGGGTTATTTCCGTATCGTGATCTGCCTCGCCAAGATGCCAAATAGATTTTACACTTGCAATTTTTTTTTAAATAAATATGTTTGCCCGGTGGTGGCTAAGAGTCTGTCCCTTCCTGTAATGTTTTTTTTAGTTTCTCGCAGGCCACTGCCCGGAAGTTTCCATGACTTGGCGATTATTCTGCCACAGATCATGATACGTATATTTCCCCTAACAATCAGTCTACATTAAGAAATAAAAAATTATTGTGTAGCAATCTAAAAAGCCTTAAAAAAAATGGTTGCTTTGCAAAGCAACAAGTAATAAATAGCTACCAAATATTGTACAGTTAAACAAGAAAAAAAATTAGATACAAAAATACTTAGAAACGAAAATATTTTTGAAAAACCTCAGATTTTCATATTGGTATCTACAGCAAAATAATTCCCTATTTTTAGCAACTTCTGGCCAAACAGAGTGGCCTGCGAGAAACTAAAAGAAACATCACAAAAGGTGATCAACTTGAAAGATATAACTCATAGCCACTCAGGAACAAACCATTAAAAAAAAATTTTTAATCATTTTTGAAAACTCAAAATCACTTTGGGGTCTTGGCATGTATAGTTGGAATGAACAGATACCGACACAGAAATATCTCTAAAGCAAAAAACTCGATTTTTTATTAAAAAGCTAGGTGGGCTGTTTTGTTTTGTTTTTTTTTTTTTTTTTTCTTAAAAAAAACTAGACAGGCAACAAAGACAAACTTTTTTTAAAAAAAAACAACATTTTTCAAGCCCTAAATTGATTTTGCAATTTATCACAAATACTGTGATAGAACAGTATAGAGGATATTTTTTTAAATTTCTGTAAGTCACAATTAGGCGATAAAATTTAATGTATCAAATCTATACTTATCTTTTGCGCCAAAAATTAATCAAATAAAATAAATCCTAATTTTTAAACATGAATGATCTTCAATCAACAATATGTGGGAGTGGTGCACACCAAATATTTTAATCTTATTCTGTTCTCTTGAAACCAGTCTTGCTTAGAAATTTCTTTTTAAAAAAAAACAGCAAATTTAATATTTTCAGTGCAAGTAAAACCCCTCACATTGCTTGATTGAAAATAATCTTTATACTTGGAACCCTAAAGGGAAATTCACAAGCTACTACTTACTAGTTTTTAATTTTATTTTGCGAGAAGCAACTTTACGACGATTTGGAGGTGTTTCAGGACTTTGTTTTTCATCTGAACTTTGACTGTCATCATAGTCATTATTAACACCACAGTCAGGAGCAACATCATCAAAGCTACTATTGCTCGAATCATTATCCGAGGATACCTTTGTTGGTTCTTCCACTGGAGGAGGCAAAGGGCATTTTTCTTTTGCTTGTTCTTTTTCTAATGGAGCAACAGTAATGGGAGCATTTTCTTCACTGCTAGCAGCTAAAGGATACTTCTGCAATCCATGTATTGCTGCAGATATAGCTATATTCATAAAACTATCATTATCAACATTTGATCCAGCTCCATATTGAGACTTTAAAGAAGTGTGTAAACTTTTAAATTCTGGTAAATCAATTTTGTTTTCTTCAAGACACATCAACAACAAATACATGCATTTTGGATTCTTCACATAAAGCGAACAGGATTTCATGTGATCTTCTAAATATGGACGTTCAATAGAGTCCCAATTAATAAATGTAAGCAAAGTTCTAAAATCACTTTCCCTTTTACTAGCATCATGTTCTACCCACTTACAAATGAAGTTAAGCAACACATGTTGGGGAATGAGACACTGTTTTTCTTTAAAAAATGCTTCTAACTTAGATATCGTAAATTCTAAAATTTCATTTTGATCGAAAACTTCAACAATGTGATTGTGAATAAAAGCAGATGCATTTTTGTGCAGAACAGGTAAATTGTACTTCTCTGCCATCTCTCTAACTGTCAAACAGTTAGAAGGATCTAAATACCTATCTAAATATTCCGCACAATAATTTTTCAATTTGATTACAAGAAAATGATTCGCCAATCTCAATAATTCAGACACATTGTTTTTATCAATAACTACAGCTCCTGTATACATATAATTTAAGAGTAATTGGAATGCATCCAAATTTTGACAAGTTACAGTCAGCTGTTCTTTGATAACTTTGTGAGTTTTTAATACAGAATCAAAGTACGGGCTGCATGCAGCCAAGACATTTCGATGGGCTTGGAATTTTTGACCCTGAACGTGAAGCACGACATCACAAAATCGTCCTGCTTCACGCTGACTCCAAAGTTTTTCCAGTACAATACATGCTTGCTGATTTTCTGTAAAATTCATGGCACTCGCTGGTATCAGCGTTGGTACTGCCATGACCATTGCTACGCGAAAAAAGAATTTAGTACCAACATAAACTATAAGAAACAAAAATTATTTTGAAGATTCCACTTAATTAATAAACAAGAAACTTCAGCTTTAGAAAATATGTACATTAATGATTATAAGCTTACCTGTAAAAATAATCTAATCGCTGTAATATTAACATTTTTATTAAATTTACCTAAACACGAGTTTTTAAGAACGATAACAAATATGAAATATTAGGTGGACCAGCTCATAATGGAAAATCGGACAAAACTAAGCCTAATCTTAGGGGAAATCCCCAAGATAATTTTGTGCAGATTTAAGTCCAGCAATAAAATTAAAATAAAGCAATAGGTAGTGGACTTTTTCAACCCAGAAAGCATGTATAAGTACTTAAAGGAGAAAAACTTTGTATTTCACATCTGTAGATTGTTTACATATATTATGGCTACTTAGTATCGTTTTTGGTTTTCAGTTAGCAGAAATTCAGACAATGGATGCCCAATTCGAAATAACAGAAATATTTGCTGCCATTCTTTCCCGAAAAACAGAACGGTTATTAATGCATCGCCCCGTTTTGCGTTTGTGTTGCGCTTAGAGGCCATTCTTACTGTATACGATTTTTCTACCCGCTGGTGCGAGTGTTTAGTTGTTGTTATAGCTTATTTACGTCGCACTGGAGCTGCTCTATGGGCTATTGGCGACGGTCTGGGAAACATCCCTGAGGATGATCCGAAGACATGCCATCAGAATTTTGATCCTCAGCAGAGGGGGTGGCACCCTCGCTTCAGTAGCCCGACGACCTGCACGGGAAGTCCAGCACTTTAAAGTAGATCAGTTTAACGAGGGCCAATACCGCACACCCTCGGTCCCTACGGTGCGAGTGTTTAGAAACAACACATAAGATGAATTGGCGATCGAAATGAGCCATAGGTGGCGTAGGGTAGAACTCTCTACCTATGGCAACACTATACATGCTTTCATCATAGCGTGTGGAGAGTCATAGAAGAAGGAAGTACGTTAGTTTCTGTCTTGATTGTCATATAGATTAAAGTCTTCTAAGTTGTGAAACTATATGGAACTGAAGACTACATTAAACATAAAGAAAGAAAGCACAAAGCTATAAGAAAGCACAATGGAAATTTCAAAAAATATTTTTATTATAATATTAAGAAAAGGAAAAATATTGTAGTACATTCCTATAGAACTGAAAAGAGGAGGAGAGGGAAAGGAAAGGGTCCAAAGGCTTCTCCATAGATGTCGTATTCGAGCGCTGTCTTGTGCGCCTTTAGATTAGATTCGAGATTGCAACGCCGTGTAAAGCTAAGCACAGATGGCGCTAGCTCAGCTTGAAAAGCTCTGTATCCAATATTAATATTCTTGTAGTGTTTACAATATAACGCATTCTTTCCATTTGAATTTTAACGAAACAGGCAATAAATTATTTCGGAAAACTCCGTAAGCTTATGCTATTATGCAAACCAAAAAATGACAGGAGATATTTTGCACAAATATAGCCAAATAAGAAATATGTAATACTCGAAACATGGCAATCCTTAGACTTCGTTTATGTTTTTATGCCAATTTTCTTAAGTTTTTTCCAGGCTAACGACGAGTTAAAATTTGTAAATTACAGGAAACTCTTATGAATGGTAAAATAACGCCTAAATTTAAACACAGATTACTATGATAAAATTTCCTAGAATGTACATCGCCAAAGCATAACATAAGCTGTGGTATACGCCGGAAGTTTTCCAAATATCGTCCGGTATTAGGAAGCTTGTTATTGTTTACATTCAGTCAATCATCCATATGCATCTAGGAAGGAACGGCTCCACGTCTTGACCCTTTCCCCTTCAACTTTCCCTTCTACAATATTTCCCCCCTTTAATTGTCTAAAATATTTTCAAAATTTTCCATGACGCTTTCTTTAAAAACTATGTTTGATACAGTTTTAAGTTACACAAAGTTTCCTAAATTAAAAGTTTATAATCTTTTTAGGAATCAAAACGGAAACTAAAGCACTTCTTTGTCCTATAGATCCCCACACGAGAACAGGGAATAATACAGGGGTTCGCGGAAGGTCTTCTTTCACGCCCACGTCTAAAGCAATCAAAGGCAGCATTCTCATTCACTACATAAGAAAAGCGAATTCAGGGATGTGATCGGGAACCTGATTGACAAGCTTTTGACAATTAAATATGTTTTACCAATCAAGCTCTCATTCCTATCACCGAATTCGTACACGTGAATTTTGCTGCGCGCTACGTGAGAAATTATTTGGGTCTATTCCACGACACGACGCTTTTGGAGCAAGCTCCAAGCTGTTCTGACAATTAGGATTGTTGGCGATCGCAATAACGCTCGAATACGCCATCTGGGGGAAAGACCGGTTTCATGCCTTTGGCCCTTCTTTCCTCCCGATATTTTCCTTTTTATTTAATAAAAATATTTTTTTAAATTTTCGTGATGCTTTTCTTTAGAACTATGTTTAATGTAGTTTTTAGTTCCATATAGTTTTCCAATTTAAAAGATTTTACTCAATATGAAAATCAAGACTCAATATGAATATGAAGATCATGTGAAGTGTTGCCATTGGTAGAGAGTTCTGCTCTACGCCATCTGCAGTCCATTTCGATCACCAATATGTGGCACAGACCAGAATTATCTACCTACGGCAACACTTCGCATGCTTTCACCATTAGCGTGTGGAGAATCATAAGAGTGATTTTCGAATAGATTAAAAACTTTTAAGTTATGAAACTAAATACAACTGAAAACTACTTTGAGCATAATTCTAAAAGAAAGCATTGCGGAAATTTCAAAATTTTTTTTATGACAATTAAAAAACGCATTAACGATCTATTGCGCAACGCTCGAATCCGCCACCTGGGGAGAACACCGGTTCCATGGCTTTACCATTTCCCCTTCCCTCTCCTCCTCTTCCTAGTCCACTTCCAAATATTTTTTAAAATTTTTTTGACGCTCTGTTTTGGAACCATGTCCAATGTAGTTTTCAATTCCATATACTTTCCTAACTTGAAGTTTTAAATCTATTTGCAATTTAAGATAGAAACTAACTTTGAAGCTATATATTGGGGAGAGTCGGGCAGCCCCGCCCACTTAAGGAGTATTGCTTATATTTCTGTATAATATTGAGTAATAATCAATATTTTTGTATGTTTCTATTGTTTTCTCATCTAATTAAGTAGTGCAAAAAGAATAAACCAAAAAAAGAATAGTTTAACTTAGAAAAATAGAAATTAAAAAAAAACATGTTTTTCAGCTCTTTTCAAAATGTGTAGGGTAGCCCGCCCAGTTATAAAAATTATGTTTTTTGACTGTTTTTTCAGGTGTAAATGAAAATGACCAATGTATTGACAATAGATAAACCTCATTTATCATTTTTATCACAAAATTATTTTATTTATTACATATTTATATACTTTTAGTGAATTCTATCATTTAATAACAATCATTTAATAACAACAATATTTGTTGTTAAAAATGCATATAACATTCAAATTTGAAGCAATAAAATAATAATCTTTGCAACCGTACATTTATCGACGAAATAAAATTGGGCGGTGATACCCGACATTCATGTGAGCGGGGCTACCCGAAATCCAATTTTTTTGTAAATTTGTAATTACTCGAACAATTTTTTACATATAAACTTCTTTCTTTGTGCAAATTAAACTTAAGACTACATACTTTAATGCTGTATGTATAGAAAAAATTATTTTTTTAGTATTAAAATGAAGTTTAATCGAAACATTCAACCAATTTTTCTTAATTTCATGACTACTGTATTCAACATATTTTCAAAACTATTGTTTACCATGTTAACAGCTGCATAAATACTTGAAACTTTGAAAATAATCTTTTTTTAATCTAACAATTAATGTCCGATGGCCCATTGACTTGAAAAAATATTCTATACATATAAAATTGACAGTGGGCGGGGGTACCCGACTCTCCCCTATATATATTGAATATTTAATTAATTATTTTGATATTTTTTCATTCATCATGAACATACTGTTACAGTAGTTCTGGATTTTTAAAATGGAGAGTTGAAAATCTATTTTACACTCCACGTAAAAGTTCGCAGCAAATAAGTATTTACATCGTTAAGTTTATTATTCTTTTCTAATCATAATGTAACAATAAGCTTTGTACATCCTTACATCGGTATCTATGTTATTATAAAAAGCAAGATATCAAAAATAATAGGGGACAACGGGGAAATTAATAGGAAGAGTCCCTCTTGTGTGGCATTATTTATGATCCTTTAACGTTGATTAGTTTATTTTATTATTGATTTGAACAATATAAAACATTTTTTACCCACCACAAAAACAAACTACGGCTGAAAAATATCAAAGTGAAAATATTTGCTGACGACAAAATACAAACTTACTATCGAAGACCTCCCTTCGCCAGTCGTCAGGAGCACTGTCGATGACTTTGGTTACGAGGTTAAACTATTACAAACAGGGTGTGATAAATACTCAAGACATATTTTAAAAGGGATCGGGAAGAGAAGCATCAAAAGTGCTTTTCTTTAACATGTGCTTTTCTTACTAATAATTATAAATGAATAACATTCCATATATCGGTGCCACAAACGAAAATCTTTCAATATTAAGAAGAAAAATGTTACTGCTGTCACCCGTGCTTTAGAAAATTTCAGCAGGGGCATTTTTACGCTAAGTAAAAACAATCGGATGATGAAATTTAGCAAATTTGAAAAGTGCTTAAAGAACATTTTGGTGTAATAATATTGTCGCTATGTCTTTTTTTTTTTTTTTAAATTTTCCTATTAAAGAATTTTTTTTTGAGAAAACTATTAGCAGTAGAATTGATTTTTTTGTAACTCTGTACTCTTATGTTTGACATAAGCAAAAAAAGAAAAAATCACTTTTTTTAAGCATATTTCAAATATTACAACAATTAGCTACTGGCCATTTTTATTATATTTTATAAACATTTTATCTCTAGAATTGAGATGTTCAAAATATTTTTAAATCTTTTTGTAAAACTCGCTTTACTTAAAAATAATTTGAAGCAAAAAAATAATTATTAATAGTTATTTATTATTCTATTTAATTTATTAATGATAGAAATTTTGAATTGTAATGCATAATTTTTTTTTGCATCATTTTGAAGTATGTAATTTAAAACAACAGAATCTAAAATTTGTACAAAAATATGGGTCACATATGCTTGCATCGAATAATAAAAATATATTAGTGCAGGAAAATTCAATCATTATATCAGAAGTAATTCAGGAAAGCAATTTTTTTTAATTTCACACTTTCTCAAATACAGTAGAAAATATTATTTTTTGTAATACTTTTAGTCAATATCTTTTATATTTTTTTTTCTAGTTCAACCCTGCTTTCTAGATGCATGTGTTTCAATTATTGGTTTTAAGTAAATAAATTGAAGCTTTTAAACGACAGATTCAAATGTTCAATTTATTTAGATATATAAATATGCTCTGTTATGAACAAAATACACAGTCCTAAGACACATTGATAAATATCTCAATATAAACATTTGCATAG